CTCTATGGTTCTCCCACTAGGTGGTATCCGAGAGTGACAATGGCCTAAGGTGGGTGGGATATGAGAGAGTGCGGTAGGTGCGGCGTAAGTCCAGTATCACAATAAACGAAATCACGCTTAAGCCACCGCCTCTGCAACCAACCTGCCACGTGACACAACGTGGACATCGCCAGGGATGACGGGCGATCCATTGGTTCGGAAGCTCCTGATTTAACGCCAGGGCGATCGCGCGTAGGGTTGTTTCCCATTACTCTCGGAATCGCAATCTCATCTAAATGGTCATATCGAGATGAAAGCCTCTGTTAACTTACCGTAGGCCCAATGCATAGGGTAGTCCGATCAGGAAAGACGCACGTCTATTAGTGGCAAGGAATATATTCTGCCGTCGAGTGCCAACTTATGTTGGTTTGGATTGTGATACAATACTAGATTCACGGTCGATATGAGCCCTGAGAAAATTTACAATCATTTGAAGCAGGTGGAATTGAGGACGCCAAGCTGCCAGTAGTTAAATCTGAATTAGAAGACAAATCCTAAACTGAGACGGCTCTAAAGCTTCTTGTACACACCCGCTTGCTCATCGATTTTACGTCAGGATGGAACGGTAAGTGTCCTCTCGTTCAGTTTAACTGCTCACTTCAACTTAAGTCATTCCTATTTGCCATTACGAAACACATCAAAAAGGAAGCTGCGCATATGACGACTGACATTCAGCCTAATTTATTTTCGAGCTGAATGCGCTTCATGAATCTAATCAGTTTATCCCACGTCAGGCAAGAAATTGATGCTTTGTTAAAGCACTAGTCGCCTGACGTCCTATTAGCAATGTCAGTTGCCTTGATTTCACAGTTATTATTATATAATTGGTAACTGAGACAAATTTCCACTATCTTTTCTTCTAAGCAAGTCAGTCTTCCAGTCGGAAATGGAAACTTGGTCTGAGCGCAGTAGGCATGGAGGTTTAAGTTCTTAAAGGTGGTAATATCGTGTAAATAGCAAAGCTGGCAGAGGTTTGTACACTAGAGTAGCGTTGATGTGTGTCCACGCCGTGTTTAATATATCCCCAATTCTTGCCTATTTCATGTCCACAGTATTCACATTATTTCCGTTGCTCTAAACCACCAAAATCGACAGCTTGACCAGTTTGGATGGTTTGCATTCATTATTATGGCAAAGGGAGTAACAACATAAAAATGACCACCAATTTTGAGAATTTACATCGAATCCCTGCATTTTTATATGCTCCACAAGATTTCTGTCCCATTGTCGGGCTGCGGAGACTACGACTTGTAAAAATTGCAAAACCTACTTCGAGTCTACATAACAGGCTAAGGTTTTTAAGTGCCTGTCGCAGCAGCGTAATGAAGCTGGGTCGCAGTATAGACTCGAGTTATGTGCACCGTAAACTCACATGATTCCACTTTGCAAATCAAGTGCTTTTTTAATGACTCGTTTGGGATACTGTTTCAATCTACTCCTAAACGCAGTTATTAGCTGGTGCGTTCCGCTACTTCTCTTCTGTGACAAGGCGCAACTGTCAGGGATCGAACCATTTGTTAGTTGCCTTTGTTGGGGTAAAGAGAGCAATAGTGTTTTCTTATGATTTATTTGACGCATTTGAAGTAAATACGTTGGACATCATTTACCCGCCTTAGTAACGAGTTTGACGTCAACTGTGACGCTCAGATAAGCAACCTCTCTAATCTAACCAGATTATGTTCCTACAGTGATCAAGCCGTGAGTATTCTCTGTGCACAACTTAAAAGCTTATTCACATCATTTTCAGTAGAGGTATTAGTTAACGACTCTAACCCATTTCCTATCAATATCCTGCCGTTATAGGTCAATTGTGTCGAGTACAGTTCATGAGTAATTTCCGAAGCTTTCTGAACTAACTGACACCTGAATGTCTGTCGTTTATACTTTATGGATACCAACCGGTATTTTTGAGTCAGGTCGGATTTAAACATTTAGCGCTCATAAACAGATGTTTAAAGAGTTATCGTATAACATCCTACCTTATAGCGATCTCAAATCAAACACTAAAAGCCTGAGCATACATAAATATTCGACGCTCGAGTATATTGAGCCTAAATACGTTTCGTGAGTTCATAACAGATAATGCACCAGACCGTCTACATCAGACAACGCAACCTTGTGCGATGAAACAACAAACCGAAATAATTGTGTTGGACTTAAATGAATAAAGTGGGTATTCTTGGTTTGACAAAGATGCTTGGGACCTCTCACCCGATTGTTACCGCAGTCGCAATTCCAGTCATACATGCACAGTAGGCAAACGAGATAAAGTTTATTTACTGAAACAGTGGTCTTTATTGGTGGGTACCGAGCCACCCGTTGTAATCTGTTGGGTTCTGCATAGTTTTTGGAATTTGTGTTTGAGCAAGGGGTGGAGATTACTAAAAATGGGGTTGTTTCTACCTTAGACAGAACTCAACAAGCCCCATGTATCTGGACAATTACTTAAAGTTTTGCCGATGGGATTTTGTCTAATATTCACGCAGCTGACGACTTTATGGAGGGAGGCTGCTGAAGGGTATGAATTCGCATAGTTTGAAACGTTTGACTGGATAGGCAATCTGTCTCCCGATCCACCCAAGTATACCGATTGCCGACCTTCCAAAGCGGCTGTAGATAATCCTGTCAGTACTTAAAGTCAGTGTAAAGGTCATACTAACTGAGTTGTAGAAGGATGTTACAGTTTGCTAAAGCAGCTGGACTCCCTAAAATGCAGGGCATGGACAGAATGCTGCACCGCGTCCGGCCCACACCGTACCTTTCCTTCTTGAAAAATAAGAACTTCCGTATAAATCACAGCTGCTGGCTCCTTTACCTGGACGCCCAGTGTCATGTACCTCAAGGTGAAAGCAGCTATGCCGTGCTATTCCATCGGAGCTGTAGGACTAAGCGGAAATCGGCTCACTTCCCCAGGCCAATACGAGTGAATGTCAACTAATGTACACAGTTGGAAGACCCAGCCACCTGACTCAATTATGATTCTTTCCCAAGCAGTCAACATAAGTAGGTTTTATAAATCCTGTTTGCATGATATGAAGCATTTATCGCTGGTACGGAAACGCCCACCAATGTTGAATTAGTACCGCATCAAACGTTGTTTCACTGGATTAATCATATTATCACGTTTTCCTAATTCATAAAGCCAAACCTCCAGTGCAAAATGGAGTATAGAAATCACATCCTGCTAAACATTCTGCTCTAAAACTTGGACATTTTGGATACTCTATTGTCAATATGCTTGACTGTGTAGTACTGCACCAGGTCCTGTCCAAGACGTACTTTGCCATCCAGAAAATCTAGAACCTTCTCATAAATTACGACGAATGGCTCCTTTACAGAGACGATAGATGTCACGTATCCGCAGATGAAATCGACGCCATGCACTTCCAGCGTACCAGTCAGGCTAAGTGAAAATTGCTCATCATACCTGTCCAGCCAAAGTAACACATCAACAAATAGGCGCAAATGGCAGGTTCGACTGCATGACGTCGAAGAAAAACGTTCGTTTTGAAGCCGGCGATTGGCAGTTGCATTCCACTTCATAGCCCACGGCATTCTCCAATGTCCCCCACAGTCAACTCGATGAAAATGTTACTGACGTGACAAGCTCTTATGTATTTCCCAATTTTAGTCAGACAGCACAGCCACAGGTCGAGCACACTGACTGCCATGGACCAACATGCAATAGAGTCAGCGCGATATGCTCTTCATGAA